CTGAACTCAATACACACAAGCCTGATGATGGCAGATGAGATTCTGCCTCTATAACTTTAAAAGCACAACTATAAAGACATGGGAAAATACCCGAAGAAACTGGAGGCTTTTAAGAAGAGACTGGACAACCATTTGTCTAAATGGTATAGGGTTTCCAGCTTAAGCAGGGGGTTAGACTAGAAGACTTCCAAGATCTCTTCCAACTCTTTTATTCTGTTAATACATTCCATTGTAATACGAAATCATATTATTAAAAAAACTGTCTAAAAGGCAGAAAGAACATGCTGTATGAAAGTTACTATTACCAATACCAAAACACTTTTGGAGCTGTTGTATTCCACTACAGTTTAAAGTAATTAGTATTTCAAATATTAAATTATTGAGATGAAATTAAACTTTTGAATTTAAAATTCTCTTTACCCAGAATTTCTAACAGGTTTGCCTAATTTTCTAGGCCCATTTGTATAACCAATTCTAATAACAGATTAATCTGTTTACATCTATCTCAATCCCAAAATATGGAGAATGCTTTACTAAGCATGTTGTCAGCCCTCCAAGGTAGACCAGACTAGGAACTAAAATCACATCAACTAGTACTACTTTTATTGTAAGGTTATAGTAACAGAATCTTACAAGTCTGAATGCACTTCCTTTTTCCTCCCTCCCTTTATTTTCAGGAAAACTAGGGAGGGTTTTGTCCCAGACGTTTACTTGGATTACAGATTGGGTTGGACTCAAATTTATTTTATCTAACTATTGTCTTGGTTACAGGTCTTCTACCTGTACTTCAAGGTTTTTTTTTTGCCCATTACAGATCCTGAAAAGCAGTGGTTATTTTCTGATCTCATTGAAACTCCTCTTGCAGGGCTCTCCTGGGACTCCCAAAATCCTTGCAATTGGTCCTCAAAGCCTTTCCAAAGTTAACATCAAAATTGATTTTAAATAAGGGAAAAAATTGGAGAGCAATCTTATACTTTGTAATTTAAGTTATTTAGTCAATTTCAATCCAGTGAGGTAAAACTCAATTTTTGTCCTATCTTAACCACATTGGGAGGTTCGTCCCCATCTCCCACCCCAGTCCACCCAAAGGCCAAATATAATCCCACCAGAGAAATACTGAACAGCCCCATCCTTCTGATATTACTGCACTGTTGTGGTTGCTGCTTCCTTTAATTAGCTGACACCTGCTGTTCAGGTACAGTGTACAAAGCTATAAAATGTTACGTGCATACAGGTTTGTAGAAGAATTCATATTGTCTTATTGACCGAGCCAATAGAACAGATGGGGAGGGAGGAAGAAGGTGACCTTTTAAAAAATTAAAGCAATAATTAGGACATGCTTCCAGGCGCAATGGTTAGAGTGCTATACTGCAGGCCGCTTGTGCTGACTATCGGCTGTTGATATCCCAGCAGGCTCAAGATTGACTCAGCCTTCCATTCTTCGGAGGTGGGTAAAATGAGGACCCAGATTGTTGGGGGCAATATACTGACTCTGTAAACCACTTAGAGAGGCCTGTAAAGCACTGTAAAGCGGTATATAAGTCTAAGTGCTATTGCTATTTGCATTTATTTTAAAAATTATCTAAGATGATTGCATGCATTTAATACTTTGAACCTGTGTGTCATATAAATAAATGATAGCTTTTAAATTTATAATACCTTGCTGGAAAACGTTTCAGTGTAACACATTGAATTAAGTTTACTGCTACTTATTTAAAAATGTAAACTCAAATTTTTCAAGACTTTACAAGGAAGCATCAATGTATCATCTTGGCTGGCCTCCCATATTTAATTTCCCTTATGCCAGGCCTTGCTGATAGTAAGCTAGGAACCCGTAGTATTGCTAGATTTATTAGTATACAGCAAATCTGCTCAGTAATGTGTGCTGGATACAGCTGTAGTTGACACAAACTAAAGCAGGGGTATCAAACTCAATTTGATCTTGGGGGGGAGGGGCGTGGCATAGCCAGCTCAATATCACTCGTGTTGGGGGCACCTATAGTGGCCTGAGTACTCTGCCAGCAAAAACGGTCTCCTGAGCTCTTTTTCAGTTGTGACAGCCTCCTGCAACCCTCTGCCAGCGAAAACGGGGCTTGGGTGGGCCGTGGGTGGGCCCCTCAAGCTCTGTTTTTGCTGGCAGAGGTACCATGGGCTTGTCCTTCACTGTTTCCAGGGCAGCCCTGGGGGCCAGATCTAAGCATTCCACGGGCCAGATCTGGCCTCCGGGCCTTGAGTTTCACATGCCTGGGCTAAAGGGTGTGAGCAAAATAATTGTACCTTTGGGCAGAATAAAACAGGCAACAAAGTTTATGTCGGTCATGTAAATGTCTATTTAATTGATTATATTATGGTTACTGTAGATATGGGGAAAGAACCTGTGGCTTTTTCTACCTTATGTACTTAAATGACATAGCTGGCCTTGGGTATTATGCATTTTAACCATATGCTAGAAAGCAAAATAACATCTATATCTTATTACTCTCTTAATTCAGCCTAATTGAAAAGGTAGTTCTGGGGGGGGGGGGAAATGGAGGACAAAAATCTATGTATATTGTCTGAGCTGCTGGGCAAAGAAAGCGGGTTGGTAGAATCCAAGAATGAATACATTCCCAAACTTATCGTTAGATAGATCAAAAGTTGATGGTTTGTGAAAGGCTGCCATAAAGCTAACACTCATTGTACAGATGTGATAGAGATTAATGAGGTGATTCAAGACAAATGTGAGGTTAAATGAGAAGAAAGCAGTATTTCCTGATGGGACAGTTTGTTCAGACCAGACAAAAGCGTTTCATAGAGCTGGATTTTTCTATGGGTGAAAGTAGATGGAATCCTTTAAGAAAGTGGTCCTCAACCTTCCTTGCTCTGTAGACCAGCAGTGGCAGGTGGTGTGGGGCAAATATGTTTTGCACACACAACCTTATCTTGCCCATGTACAAGTGGAACTCTGCACACATGCCCACTGTTTGCACGGCCCAGTTGGTTTGGGTATCCCTGGTTTGAGACAATGGTGAGAGATGAAAAGGATTAGTGTCAGGCACTATGCTTAGGAAATATTACATTGCCTGCCTCCTTCAAAGAGAATACAGTTATGGTGGAAGGCCATAAGAGATAACAGTAGTGATGTATGGAAGGCTAGCTGCCAGAACCCTATATGTTTCTTGTCTTTATGTGTTATAGTTCATTTGGAATTTCATTTGGAACTGTGGCTACTTAGCACAAAAAGGGCAAAATTAACCAGGTAGGAGCATTTTATGGAGAAGGTGGCAGGTAGCATTCCGATCAGTGGTGCGTTGTAACAGGCAATGTCTCCCGGGGTAGCTGTTTGGTAATTGGGCAGGATCACAACATGTTTTTAAAATTCCAAGTAAACACATCTGCACAAAAAGTGTTGGCGTACACTGTATGTATAAGCTGGGTACATAAATCTGAGCAGCACACTAATGAGGGCCTTTTCTGGGATACAGTCCTGATCACTGTTAGCAAAGTGCTTGTCTTAACCTCAAAGAGATTCCCATATTTATCTTGCCGCTGCCACCACCCCTCCAATATTTATGTCAGCAAAGTCTTTCTTCACTCAGTTGTTCTTTCACTCATTTTTATTTCTGGAGAGATTTGTTTCATTTTTCTTTGTCTGCTCGTAATTGTTATAGTGATGGATTTTCTGTGATTGTAATGACAGATTATTTTAATTTTGTTACCTTTTGTAACGTGGTTGAGTGCTTCTGTAGGGAGAAGGAATCCTAGTTTACAAATACATACATGAATTCATAAATATTTATAGCATAATGATTTAGAGAAAGTGTTTTTACAAGTAGCATAAAACAATTAGTCCAATGTTTTTATAGCATGTTGCAAATTGGTTAGCTACATCATCCTTTTGTAAATGCCACAATACCATCCTATAAACTTGCTCCCTAATAAAACAAGTAAAACAGTCTAGCCTTGCTGGGAATAGAATGCTAAATAAAGTCAGTAACTAAAGAACTAAAGATATATTAGAGAGTCTGTGAGATAAAGGACTGAGCCTGGTAAGGGGAGGAAGAAAACTGATTTTAAAAACATGACGTGTTTGGAGTAGAGAATTGACATGTTTATTTTAAAAAGTAAAATCTAAATTATCCATATGTAAAGATAATCTGAGAGTAAGTAAAATGTTGCACTAGATTGTGGGATTCGCATTAAAACTCCATATTTAAACCATTGAATTGAATTATTAAAAAGACTCGTATAGTTGTCCATCTTATGCACTATAATGCTAGGTTGCTTACAAACCAGAACCGAAACAGTACAAAGCATAAAAAACATCACAGAAACTCTAGGTGCCTCCAGCAAAGTGCAGAGACAGAGGAGGGAGGGAGAGCGCGAGAGAGAGCGTTATGACAATTCACCATGGCCAACTCGCTGAGCCCAACTTGCCATGGCCAACTTGCTGCAGTCAACTCACCACAGGACAACTCGCTGCAGGAAAGAGTTACACTAATATGAAAGAAATAGTAGAATACAGTCATTGAAGAAAGGATGAAAATGGAGCGACAGAATGAAATGTGAATGGCAAAAAATGAAAATATTTTTTTATTTATTTTGAATAATTAAATAGAATTGTTAAATTGTCCCGCAGCAAGTTATCCCATGATGAGTTGGCTATGGTGAGTTGTTCTGCAGTGAGCCATGGTGAGTTGGCTGTAGCGAGTGGGCCATGATGACTTGGCTATGGCAAGTTGGCCACAGTGAGTTGACTGTGGCAAGTTATCCCATTCTGAGAGAGAGGAGAGAAGGAGGGAGGGAGGGAGGGAGGGAAAGAGAGGACTCTAGCTCCACTCCAAGCCAATTAACTTTGGGTCATTCTATCAGCCTAACCTACCTTGAGAGGAAATTGGAAGAAGGAATGCTAAGATTTCTACCTTGAGCTCCTGGAGGTAAACAGAAAAAAAAGCTAACAATAGTAATTAATATTTCTGTACTTATCCCTGACTACATGTTTATTTTGTTTTAACATCTAGGTATCCGATCATGGGACACAAACCTCATTGAATGCAACTTGGATCAAGAACTTAAACTTTTTGTATCCCGCCATTCAGCTCGATTCTCTCCTGATGTGAGAGGTGAGGTTTATTTTTCTGTTATTGCCTGTATTTGGTGGAGATTAATTTAAAACACCTGTTGCACAATAGGTCTTGGTCTCCATTAAGACAATACAGTTGTAATCCTATATTCACATTCCAGAGACCAAGTCAATTGAGGTTTTCTTTTGGATTAATATAAGGTCACAGTGTAATATTGGTTGTCTCTCTTTTAAAGAAAGCTTTATAGAGGACAACAGACAAAGCCAATATGTAAGCTTGATGTCACAGCCAGTGGCTATAATTCCAGACTTACTGGAAAGTAAATGTTGATGAGATCAGTGAAAATCAATTCACAGGGAATTTACTTAGTTGGGTTATAAGCATATAACTAATCATGTGGTGCATTGTTCTGAGCAAAAAAGATTCTGTTCGTAGGATAACTTAATTATACATTACTGTTTTCCAATAAAAGAATAATCGGATGTGAGTTGCTGCCTTTTGACAATGTACTCCCAAAGGTACTTTTTTCAAACCTGAATGACTCAAACCTGGAGGACTGAGAATCTCCATAAATATTTTGACAATGTAGTTCTCTGCATTAATAAAAGCTGAAGCAATGGGGCATAGTTTCATTGTAGATTAATGTTTTCTTAGTATTGCTACAAATAAATATTTCTATGGAATCAGAATAAGTTGTAATTCCTTTTAAATTATAAAAACTGTTGAATCTTGGCTTTAAAAAATGGTAGGTATTGTGGGAATGAAGATTATTACTTCCCTATCCACAGGCATTATTTCAAGCAAGGTGTTCTGACCCAGGCTTCATCAAATGGAATTAAACACAAACTTGTTTTAAAAGCGAAACCTATTTTATTGCAACGCTGGCAATTACTTTCATTCCCAGGCAGAACTAATTATAAATAGTTCCCCAAGATAAGCACAGCCTTTCAGTGCTATGGAATGTTGCCAAAAATAGAAGTATCCAAATAATTATAACAGAAACCAACCAAAGTACCAGAAAAAACTTAAGCAGAATACACAGAGTTTCAAGGAGGACTCGGAATCTATCAAACTACTTTGCTTCCTGCAAAGATGTCTTCATTGGAGGTCTGACTTTTATCTCTTATGGGAGGGGCAATCACCTCCCAGCCTTACTCCTGAGTTGCCCCTTCTGTTTCAGCTGCTATTGCCTTCTAGAAGCTCTATACACACACACACACACACACACACACACACACACACACACACACACAGAACAGGCTCCCCTAGGTCCTCTGCTTTGCTGTTGCCAGACACCAAAGGCTCCGAAGGCAGCACCCCACTCCCAGATGGTCCTGGCCCCATCCCTGCATAGGATGCAGGATCCTCGTCCAAGTCCTTTCCAGACTCCCTGACTGGTTTCCTTTCTTCCTCACTGTCTGATTCCGCTGCCATCTGCACCGGCTGCTGGCGAACCACAACACAAAGTTTGTATGTCTGCTACACAGAGGGTTACTTATTTACCCAGATTAATTTGCTCAAGTTCTATAAAATGCTTCTAACTCCTTGCACATATCCAACATGTTCAAAATTTAATGTGCAGTTTACTGGTATTTATTAAAAAATCCTATCAAAACATATAGGAACCACACTTTCTTTTAGGAAGGATTAAGATAGGATTTTACTCAAAGTTTCCTTAGCTTAATCATAGCAGAATGAGTAATGGGTCTTCCTGTTTTAGAACTGAGTGGGCAAACTTTAAGTAATTGGAAGTCTTACTTAAAATTGAGATTGGTGAAGACAGCAGCGAAGGGGAGATTATATAAAATGAGTGAAATTAGGATTATCTCTTTTTCACAAAGTTAAGGAAAGACTGCTAATTCATGGGAATTTATGGGCTTACACTATAATTTCCATGGTGCAGAAAATAAGGCTCCATTTTCACTGTCAGAGGGCTACAGGAAGCCATCCCAGTCAAAAACAGAACCTGGGAGGGCCATGTGCTGCCCTCTTGTGATCCATTTTTGCTGGCAGAGACACTGCGGGCTGGTCCTTCACTTTTCCAGAGCAGCTCCGTAGGCCAGATCTGGGTACCTCGGGGACCAGCCTCATGGGCTTCTGAGGTATAGCATCAACACAATTCAATGGGATAAAACATTAGTTTCTTCTCTGTTGGCTGGTGATGCCAGCTCTTATAGTGCAACATCTCTAGAGGATTAGATTAGGGAAAGCTTGCATAGTTCTTTGCCTCTCAAGAAAGAATATATGCAGTGCTACAGTTACTTTTAGGGTAAGATCATTAGGAATATAGTTTTGATCCAAAATATTTGGCCTCTGCTTAATGGGATTTGTGTTAAACAGATGTAAATAGGATACACCTGGTCTAGATCCCACATTGGTTATATTAAACTTTTCCTGATGCAAAAGAAATCACAGAAACTTCCTGAGATACAGCTGTCTTGGAATATATCTAAGATTTCAAATCTTTGCACAAGATATAGGTTTTCATATATTAAATAATTCTTAAATAATTACAATAAGTAATTCTTTACTAAATAATTATATTAAATAATTCTTTATTAACTAACATTCTCAGTTTAATTAAAATCTTAAAATCTACTCTTCAAGTCATTGTATAAAGGTAAACTTATGCAAGTCTCTACTTCTACAATTAAGCGCATGATAATAAGAAATATAGTGGGGTATTTAGACAGTACCTGGATGATCTGAAGTTAGTCTAGATTATTCCAAGATTATACATTAAAGCTATTTAATCCTGTGCTAGTTAAACAAAAAGTTATAGGAAGCAGTATTTTAAACACAAGGCTTCCCCTTGCTGTCATTAACCAAAGTCCACCCAGTGGTTTGGCGAGGACCATCCCAATCCAAACCATTCCCAACTTGGTTCCTCCCAGCCCCAAGCCTCGGTAAAATGAGATACTGGCTCCAGGTCCTCCCTGCCTATCTCTGCCCTTTTTGGCCATCCTATATCCTGTCTTGTGGGGCCATCAAGTAGCATTAAAACTGCCTGGGTCTTGGGCTGTTTACCATGCTGCGGCTCGGGCAAGCCTCAGGCACTGAGGCTGTAAGAAGACATGAGATGCAGCACAGCGCAAAGCCACAGCTAACCCAGGCCAGGCCAGCCCGGCCCAGCACAAAGAGGCTTCTTGGAGCTCTGGGGTTTGGGGGTTGCAAGAAATCCCTGGGCCACAGTGCAAAGCCCAGCCTAGCCATTTCAGCACTGTGGGGAAGGGAGCTTCTCGGCAGTCTACAGCTCAGGATGCAAGAAGCCCCTGAGCTGCATTGCAGCATGAAGCCCAGCCCACCTCAATAGTGCAGCGCAAAGAGTTTTCTTGATGCACTGCAGCTCTGGGACTGCAAGTAGTTTGTAAGATGCAGCGCAGCATGGAGCCAATTGTACTGTGAAGCCCAACCCCAGCCTGACCTAGCAGTGTGATGTAAAGGTGCTTTTTGGGGCGCTGCAACTCTGACAACTCTAGTAGTCAGTAGTCTGTCCAACTTGAAGTTGGAAGATCATTGTGTTTATTTAAAGCTTTACCATATTTTCATATATCTTGTTTTTAAATACTTATAAGCTTTATAGTATGAGAGTTGTACTGTAAAGTCTATGGCTGCCACAAATCAGAAGTCTGGCAGCACCTCTTCAAACTAACACATTATTCATCTTTCTTCCAAGTATGAATACTTCTTACTATCTTCATAGGAATTTCATTACAGAAAAGTATACAAATGTCATAAAGCAATATTTTGAAGTGAAAGTATTTTTAATGTTACAATGTAGATTGTGTAAGTATGTAAATACACAAAAATACAGATAGAGAGGTAGAAATTTCAAATCAAGTGACAGGTTTCACATCTATTCAATATAGAAAAGCACAATACTCAATGGCACAGCAGTTTTATAAGCTTTGAAAGTTGCTCAGTTTGAAAAAGAAATACAATTCTGTAATACTTTGTGGAGAACAGATTAAACTTTTGGAAGCCTTCTATTAATCACAGAATCTTACAAGGACTCTGGATGTCTGTCCGGTTAATGTAGCTGAAGTTTCAGTGTTAGTTGTTATACTCATTATTCTTAGCAAGAAAGAAAATGGAGACAAAGAGGCAGGAGATTAGTTTAATTTGGCTGACTCATGCAAATGGATCGATGCTTAGTTTCCCCATGGAGGAGTTGCTATTAGCAACTGTGCCATAGCATCGCTCCCTTGATGCACAGTAACAGTGAGGCTCAGAATGTAGCTATCTTGAAAGCCTTCTGAATTGTGTTTACTTCTATAAGAAGAACAATCCAAACACAGTTAATCCAACCAGTAAAATTGCTTTTAATGTCAACCTTTATCTTCTGAATCAGGGTGGGGAATGGGGTGGGGGTGAGAAATTCTTAATTCTGACTAAACTTTAAATTCTCAAATAGAAATATTTGCTTACTGAAAATTATGATACAAAAATATTTTTAAATGAATTATTAGCTGTGCACTATTATAAATATGCTTCATTTTCATTATGGAATGCTGTTCCTTCTCAGTTTGTTTTTCCAAGCTTGATTGCCTCCAAAATTCTGAACTTCACCTACCAAATATCCCGCCAAGCGTGCAGCTACTTTTATGTTTCACTAATGCAAAAAAATTCTAATCAATAAATGATTCATGAATTGCATGTATTTTTAATCTAATTATATTTGAAAGTTTAATTATTCATAGTAGTTAAAGAGCATTCTTTAATCAGGATCGGCATCCTTAGTTTTTGATGCTTATTATGCAGTCTTAGGGAGAGGAAGATAAACACGAAGAGCAGGAAAGGGAAAGGCACATTCTGCTAAATTTCCTTTTGCAAGGCTATGACCTCAGTGCATTGTCTTGTCTGAAGTTGATTAAACGCTGAATTACAAGATGTTACTGAAGTATCTCATATGGACTGATACTTCAGTAACATCTTGTAATTCAGTGTTTAATTCAGCGTATGAACTGTCTTCACTGGCTGTACCTCAACATCTGGAGAGAAACTAGTTGGTACTTGCATTAATTTTATTTGAGGGGCAG